TGAAAAATACTCTTTGTTGCCCTGGCCAGTTTGGCTCAGCGGTTAGAGCGTCGGCCTGCGGTCCGGAGAGACCCGGGTCCGGTTCCCGCTAAGGGCACGTACTTCGGTTGCAGTTTGTCCCCGGCCCTGGTTGGTCGTGCGGGTGGCAGCCACTCGATGTGTCCCTTCACGTCGATGTTTCTCTCTCTCTCTCCCTTCCTCTCTCTCCCTCCCACTCTATCTGTACAAAAAATGGAAAAATGTCCTCGGGTGAGGATAAAAAAAAAAAGGAGAAAAATACTCTTTGTTGAGTTAAGAAAATACCTTTATATTTCTAGTTTGCTATGAGTTTTTACTATGAATGGATATTAATTTTAAAAAATTTATCTTTACACAGACTTCCGGTCAAGATGGCCACATAGGTAAACGCGGTATCGTGTCCTCCCACAACCACATCAAAGTTACAACTAAACTGCAGAACCACCATCATTCAAAACTGCTTGAAATCAAGCTGAATGGAAGTCCTACAACTACGGAATTAAAGAAGCCGCATGGAGACTGGTAGGAGGGCAGAGGCAGATGGGCCGATTTCACATCCCCGTGTGGCGGATAAAAATCAGGAGGACACCTCGGCTGGGAAGGTCCTCCCTGAGGACTGAGGGGTCCTCGTCCCACACCAGGCACCCCACTCAGGGTTCTAGTGCCTGGAAGAGAAGTCCCCATAACTTCTGGCTGGAAAAACCAGCGGGAACTGAGGCTGAGGTGGCTGGAGCCCTAGGCAGCTCCTTTTAAAGGGCCTGCGCACGGACTTATTGGACTCACTAACTCTCTCTAAGCTTGGGGGGGGGGGCAGCTCGAGGGGTGCCAGAGACATACAGGGAAGAACTGAGTTGTTTGGCATTGGAGCGAGGGTTGGAGAGGGGGCTTTCTCTGGGACAAATATGCTGTCAGAGGCCTTTGTTCCTTTGGTGAGCCCTTCCCTGGGGTGGCAAATAGCCACCATGTTTGGGACTCCAGCAACCTGGCTCACACTGGTAGCCCCACCCTGGTGATTCCTTGAGGCCCTGCCTCACGCAACTTTCAGGCCCACCCAAGCTGCTGCCAGTTGCTTAACCATAAGATCGGCCTGTCTTGGATCCTGCTTCAGGTTTTCCTAAAGTCTTTCAAATAAAGCAGCATCTGGTCTCAGCTAGCCCCATACCTCTTGTTAAGTAATACATAGAAACAAACACAGGGAGGCAGCCAAAATGAGGAGACAAAGAAACAGGTCCCAAATGAAAGAACAGAACAAAACCCCAGGAAAAGAACTAAGTGAAATGGAGGTAAGCAACCTAACAGATGCTGAATTTAAAACACTGCTTATAAGGATGCTCATAAGCAGTTTGTGAGAACCTCAGTGAACTTAGTGAGGACCTCAAGAGCATAAAAAAGGACCAGTCAGAAATGAAGGATGCACAGTCAGAAATTAAGGAGGCACTAACTGAAGTAAAGAATAATTTACACAGATTCAATAGTAGAGTAGGTAAACCCAAGAAGCAAACCATCGATTTGGAATATAAGGAAGCAAAAAACACCCAATCAGAACAGCAAAAAGAAAAAAGAATCCAAAAATATGAGGAGAGTGTAAGGAGCCTCTGGGACTACTTCAAGCGTGCCAACATTTGCATCTTGGGGGTGCCAGAAGGAGAAGAGAGAGAACAAGAAATCGAAAACCTATTTGAAACAATAATGGCCGAAAACGTCCCTGACTTGGTGAAGGAAACAGACATAGAAGTCCAGGAAGCACAGAGAGTCCCAAACAAGATGAACCCCGAGAGGCCCACACCAAGACACATCATCATCAAAATGCAAAAGATTCAAGACAAAGAGAGAATCTTAAAAGCAGCAAGATAAAAGCAGTTAGTTACCTACAAGGGAGTTCCCATAAGACTGTCAGCTGATTTATCAAAAGAAACTTTGCAGGCCAGAAGGGAGTGGCAAGAAATATTCAGAGTGATGAAAAGCAAGAACCTACCACCAAGATTACTCTATCCTGCAAAGCTGTCATTTAGAATCGATGGCCGTATAAAGACTTTCCCAGACAAGAAAAAGTTAAAGGAGTTCATCACTACCAAACTGTTATTATATGAAATGTTGAGGGGTCTTTTTGAAGAAAAAGATAAAATATATGAACAAACAAATGGCAATGAATACATATCTATCAACAATTGAATCTACAAACAAAATGAACAGAAACATTCTCATAGATACAGGGAACATTTTGTTGGTTGCCAGATGGGAAGGGGGTTGGGGGAATGGGTGAAAAAGTTGAAGATATTAAGAAGTACAAATTGGTTGCTAGACTGACACACCTCAAAGGGAAGAGGGTTGGGGAGTGGGAAGAAATAAACCAAAGAACTTATATGCATAACCAATGGACACAGACAACAGTGTGGGAAAAGGCAGGAAGGGGGCGGGAGTGGGGAGGAGAGAGTCAATGTGGGAAAAATGAGGAATATCTGTAATACATTCAACAACAAAGGTAAAATAAAAAAAAATGTATCTTTACTGTTTAAAGTATTAAAGATGTCCCTCCTTTTTTCTCCATTGATACCCTCCTCCCTGCTCCTGCCCACCTTGCCTTTACCACACTGTGAATGTTGATTTATTTATTAAAAAAAATTTTTTTTTGCCCTGGCCAGTTTTGCTCAGAGGTTAGAGTGTTGGCCTGAAGTCCAGAGAGACCTAGGTTCAGTTTCTGCTAGGGGCACATATCTCGGTTGCAGTTTGTCCCTGGCTCTGGTTGGGTTGTGCGGGTGGCAGCCACTTCATGTGTTCCTTTCGTGTTGATGTTTCTCTCTCTCTCTCTCTCTCTCTCTCTCTCTCTCTCTCTCTCTTCCTCCCTCCCTCCCTCCCTCTCTCTCCCTCCCACTCTATCAGAACAAAAAAAATAAAAAATGTCCTCAAGTAAGGATAAAAAAAAATTTTTTTTTCTTTATTGATTTTAGAGAGAGAGGAAGGGAGAGGGAGAGAGAGAGAGATAGAAACATCAATGAGAGAGAACATCAAGTGGCTGCCTCCTGCATGCCCCTCACTGGGGATTGGGCCCACAACCTGGGCATGTGCCCTGACTGGGAATCAAACTGGTAACCTCTTGGTGCATGGGTCAATGCTCAACCACTGAGCCACATTGGCTGGGCAATTTATTTATGTTTAATATGTTTTTATTGATTGTTTTAGAGAGAAAGGGAGAGAGAGATAGAAACATCGATGTGAGAGAGATACATCAATTGGCTGCCTCCTACATGCTCCCCACCAGGGATCAAGCCTGTGACCTGGGCATGTGCCCTGACCAGGAATTGAACCAGGACCTCCCAGTCCACGGGACGATGCTCAATCCACTGAGCCACACTGGCTGGGCTGGATTTTTTAATCAAAATCATTTCCCATATCTATTGAGATGTTCCTGTAATATTCTCTAAATATGAATAACATTGATTGATTATGTAATGTTAAGCCATCCTTGCATTCCTGGGATGAACCTAATGGGTCCTGATTTATGTTATTTTTATACATTGCTGAATATCGTTTGCTAATATTGAGTATTTTATATGTATATTCATGAACATTAGCCTCAAATTTTTATTTCTCATATTTTCCTTATAGTGTATACAAATATAAATATACTGTTTTTATAAGAATTAGAATCATTAAAATTAGAAGGGAAAGTAAAGAGCATCTAGTTTGGTCTTATCACCTTAAAGTGGAGAAAACTGAAATTCAGAGACAGTAAGTAGCCTTTCTAAAATCACAGAGAGTTAGAAACAGAGTTGGGACTAAAGTACTTTGCAGAGCACTTACACATTTCAAATCACTTTCCCCTGCATGATCTCATTTTATCCCTACAACAGCCCTGCAGGGAGGGTATTTCATATCACCTCTCCATTTATGAATGGGCTAACAGGTCCAGAGAGATGATATCATGAATTATGTGACTCAGCAGGGCTGGGACTGGAAGCCAGGCCTCTGACTCCTAAACCAGAGCCCCCACCCCCACATTGGTTTATGTTCTATGCCCAGCCCCACTGACAGATCCATTTATTGGCCTGAAATGAGGGGAATGCTGAAACCTCCATCCAAAATTATTGTTTTATAACTGTCCAGCAATATTTTTGCAGGTATTTCATACAGATGGTCCATCTGCAGATAACCCTCAATGGGCAGGGATGATGGCTTCATGGTCCCTAAGGGTCGTCTTGGTAGGACACCTCAACGCCAGGGTCTCTAAGAATGTCCCCTCTAATACAGAAATGGGTCCAAGGCCCTTAAAAGGAATCTTTGTTACAGGTCCCTAAGGACCTGTTTCAACACCCCCACAGCATGGGGGAGGAGGGCTCCAGTTTCCCTTCCAGCCCCTTTCCTCACCCTCGGCCACTGCCACCCCTCCCCCATATCTCTCAGCAAGCTGCTTCCTGCAGCAGCGCCCTTGTTTTGCTTGTGCTATTTGTGTCTGCTTCTAACAGCTGGCCCAGCCTGGCAGCCCCTAGCTCTGAGGATTATCCAATTATCCCATTAGCCCAGCACGTCCTTCCTTCCTCCAGAGCTATTAGCTCCCCATCTCCCTCTTCCTCTCTCCTCCAAGGGCTGGTCCATCGCCTTCCTTACTCCTTCCTTAGCTAGGCTTCGGGCTGGGTCAGTCCCTAGTCATATAGACCAGAGTTGGAAGGGACATTTGCATCCAGCCATCTGCTTCATCATTTTACAGGAAAGGAAACTTATGCACCATACCCAAAGTCATATGGCCCATTCATACCAGCAAAGAACTAAAACCCAGGTCTCCAAACTTCATGCCATGATCTTTCTTATATATCTAGTCAGCACGCCTTATCTCGTGCTCACTACGCTTAGCCCTGGGATGAAGGAGGTACTATTCCCACTCCGCTCTCTGGGTCTGTGGTCGAGGTTAGGAACTTATGGTCTAGGTAGGGAGATGGAACACACACTGGTGAAAACCAGCACATTATCCAGGAGGTAAGTCCTACCTTAGCAGAAGAGATGTTACCAGAAGTAGGTGACAAGTTCCAGTGCATAGACAGGCACTGAGTGCTAAAGGAACTCAGAAGAGGGAGAAGAGGCTTTCAGCAGAAGGTTCAGGAAGGCCTCCTGGAGGAGGTGGTTCTTCAGGGGGTCAGTGTAGACTGGGAAGTGTTTCGAGTGGTGCGGTTTCAGAGGAACAGCATTCCAGGCTGAGGCCTCCCAGCAAGGGAAAGGCGGGCATTGGGATAAGAGGATTGTAGCCTTCAGTTCGGCTGAGTCAGGGGATCGAGGAGGGAAGTGGGTGGGCAGAGACAAGGCTGGGGAGCAACGCTGTGGCCCCGAACGCCATACCAATCAGTGGGGCTTACTCTGACACACATTTAGGGCCCACTAACTGTTCTGGAGCAGGGACGGACATACTTAGAGGTGTGCATTGTGAATATTCACATGATTACATGGACTAAATGGATTGTGGTAGAAAGAGACCCATGCAGCCCTGGCCAGTGTGGCTCAGTTGGTTGAATGCTGTCCCATGCACCAAAAGGTCTCTGGTTAGATTCCCGGTCAGGGCACATGCCCAGGTTGCAGGTTCGGTCCCCAGTATGGAGGCAACTGATTAATGTTTCTCTCTCTCTCTCTCTCTCAAATCAATAAAAACATACTAAAAAGAGAGAGAGAGAAAGAGACCAATGCAGAGAGGTCAGTTTGGAGCTTATCCAGGTGGATAAGCCTCTCACCCACCTGGATAAGCCATGGCTTTTGGGGGGTAGAGTGGATGGAACAGATTCCAAAGATGTTTGAAAAGAAGAGTTAGCAGGATGCACTAGATTGAATTTTGGAAGATAAGGAAAATATCCCCCACTAACAGGATCAGGGCAGTTGGAGTGGCCGTGGAAGTAGAAAGAGGAGGTGGGTGAGGACTATACTCACTTCATTGGGTAGAACATTTTGTAAAGTTGACCTTCTCTGTCCTATATTCCAGCCTTCTGCCTACCAGGTCTACAGGCTGACCCGATAAACCACGTGCTATGCCCACTGCCCGCCGACAGCAGTGCTGTCTGCGCTGTCATCTGGCTCTGGCGGAGGAGTTTCACGCCTGGGGCGCATTATGTTGATACAGTGCACCAGGTAACTGCCTCCCACCTATACCCATAGACTTGATTCAGGTGATGACTATTTGTTTTATACTTTCTTATTCCCTCCTCCCAGTTACCTGATTTACCCCCCACACCTGCTTTGGGTTTCCAGGATTCTAAAACTGACCATTCTGGCCAAGAAAGATGAGCCATCCTTATCTGGCCTTGTGCCCTCTTAATTCAGGGGAGGCTCCTTAGGGCCCACAAAGGTGCCCAGGCCCCTTCTAGGCCAGTGAGCACCTGAGTGCCCTTGGAGTACACTGAAGACCAGCCATTAAATTGTTGTAGGCTGGAGGCCTCGAACATGAACTCCCAGCAGAGCTGCCAGCCTGTAGGTTGTCCGACCAAGCTTAGCTGTGCCCTTCAAGCAGCAAGGCTCAGGGCAAGCTGGTTCCCTCTCTGCTCTGCTCACCACCCACTGCCACAACACTCCCTGCGTCGTCCTGACCTCACTTCCTCCAACCACTTTCAGTTTCCAGACCAACTAGACCCTCCCAGTCTTTGTTGTTGTTAATCCTCACCCGAGGATATTTTTTTCCCACTGATTTGATTTTTAGAGAGAACGGAAGACAGAGAGAGAGAGACATCAATGTGAAAAAGACAGATTTACTACTGCCTCCTGCACTCACCCTGGCTCAAACCTGCAACCCAGGGACATGCCCTTGACTGGGAATCAAACCCGTGACCCTTCGGTGCATGGGCCAGTGCTCTAACCTCTGAGCCACACTGGCCAGGACTAGACCCTCCCAGTCTTGATCGCCTTACAGCCACTTGTTCACGCTGTCCAGCTGTCGTGAAGACTACCTTGTAGCAGATTCCCACACGGGGGATTTGGGTTTAAGCAGGGGAGCTCATGGATGCGCTTATTTCTCTGGCATTTTCCACAAGTTAGCCAGGGCCGAGCTGGCCACGGAATGTCTGTGCTGCTGTGAACTGCACGACATGCACTGGGGTCCTCTCTCGGCACGTTTACTTGTCACTCAGTGCAGGACTTGACACGGATCCTTGCTCCGTTTTCTCCGTCCAGCGCCCTGAGCTCATTTTGAATCCCGATGCTGTCAGCCCACACATTGACTAAATCCTTCTCTGTTCACTTCTTTGCTATGTCCCCACTCCTTTGGATTCGAGATTTTAACAAACATGTGGGACCAGATGGGCTGAAGGGAGCAAATGACCATATCAGTGCCCCTGTCTAAGTCTCCCGCTGGCTCCCACACCCACCTTCCAGCCCCCAGAGACATCAGAGGCTTCCCAGGGCCTGGTTTACATCCACACTCACCGCGTTTCTTTTTCTGGCAGTGGCTGGGCAACGTCGTCAGCATATAGCAGCCAGGTAAGCAGCCCCTTCCCCTCTGCCTCTTCTCTTCCAGCCTCCTTTCCACCCTCTGATAGGAAGGGCTCTGCAGCCATACTGCTTGCCCTCTTGTGTTTTCTGAATCAAGAATGAATCTGCTATTGTACCGATAATCTTCCCGGACATTGATGTAACAAAACCTCCCGAAACACTTTCACACTTATTCCACTTTATCTAAAAGCAGGTCAGGGAAGCACTGGCCCGCAGTCGAAGTTGGTGGCGAGCCCAGGGTTTGAGCCTGGTGCTGACTCCTGCCCAGAGCTCAGGGAAGAGGTAGCTGGTAGCTGGGAGGAGGGAGGGGACATTACTGTGCATCTGTGGCCAAGGCACAAAACAGAGTCCAGCTGAAGCCCCAAGAGATAGTCTGGGGATAACTGTAGAAGCTGGGCCGGCCTCCGAAAATTCTACAACTGACAGAATGGTCGTGACACTGGGCTCTGGGCCTGAATTTTCCTAAGAGAAAACTAGATAATTTTTACAAATCCCGTCTAACAATTCCAAAAATCTCTGAATCCAAACCAGGCTCTATCCCCCTCACTCCCCTTTCCAACCCAACTAGAAAATGTGGGTGGATGAACAGAAAAGGAAGATCAAAACTGTGACAGCCCTGTGACAACACTTTAACTTGAAAATTGCCTGTGAATGGGCGGCATGGCTCTGCGGAGGCAGGTGAAAATCAGGTGGCAGTCACCCTCCTTCTCCGCCTCCGAACACACCCCTTGAAGAGATGCTCGGAGCTGGAGTTGACTTCAACCTGCCTGGTTTCCCCTTGCATGTGGCCTGTTCCTCCTCTGAGCTTCCAAGCCTGTGAGTTCACGACCACCACGCCCTGCCGCCAGGGAGGCTGCATCTGGCTGCTTTTCCTTAGTTGGTTGACAACTCCCTGGGCACCACCACCCTGTGCCCCCCAGGCTCAGTATTCAAAAGCAGGTGCTAATTAAGCAGTTGAGAGAGGAACAGAGAGCCAGGAGACAGGCTCAAGTTCTAGCCTGCTCAGTCCTAACCAAGGACTTCCCGAGAGCTCCCTGGTCTTTAGGTGCCAGTCCAGATGGCTGATTCTGCAAAATCACACACATACCCGCAGACACTTCTCTGAGCATGGCAGAGAAATGTGGATGGTTCAGACAAAGCCCTCCCCCAGAGGACACTGGGTTAACCCCCTGCCCCCCGCCCAGCCTCTGCTGCGGACCCCCGGGGCCTTGGGACCCCTGCCTGGTCTTTCCCTGCTCAGCCCTCTCCAGAGCCGCTCTCCTCTGGTAAAGAAAGGGTCAAGCTGGGATGCAGAGAGGTGCCCCAGCTCCCAGGCTCTGGGTTCTGTGTTTACCCCTCTTCTTTGAGGCTGGGTGAGCCTGATGTTCTCCAGCCCCCTCCCCAGCTCTGGGGGGAGGGACAGCTACAGTGAGGGGTGCCTCAGGGCAGGGGAAGGGTAGGTGTGGGGAGGAGGGAGAGGGTAACCTGACACTTTCCACTTGCCTCAGGGCAGACCTCAGGTCTTCCTTTCCCCCTAACCTCTCCCATCAGCAGGGGTATCACCTGGGGTGCTTGGTGGTAACTGGGCCCACAGGAGCTCAGGGAGACAGTCCCCATTGTGCTGACAACCCGCCGGAGCTGTCATGCCAGGGGACTGAGCGCATCTCACAGGCCTTTCCTTAGGCCTAGACCAGGGGACAGCTGCACAGAGCCCTCCCCTCTCCCCGAGCCTGCGGGTCCCATCTTCACACCAGCTCCCAGCCCAGTGAATCCAGGGACACCATCCACCTCTCATTTCCTCCTATTGCTCAGGCTGCCCTCATCCCTGCCCTGCCGAGCTTGGCCCTGGTCAGCAGCCCCAGGACTGAGGCTCACCACCGCTCCCTCAGCAGGCTCCTAGGAGCTTAGAGCATTTCTGTGAGGCCTCCCAGAGGAAAAACCAATAACGCAAATGGGGCAAATGGGAAGAGCAGCAAAGGTAGGGATTGGAGATGGGTGGTGAGTGGAGGAGGAGAAAGGGGAGCCTGCCAGGGGCCTGTCCCTCATGGGAGCCAGTCATAAGCTAGGACCAGGCTTGAGCTAGGCCTCCATTCACAAGCCTCCCGGGGAGCCCTGACCGTCCTTGCTGTGGAGGGGGCCGGGGCCACCACCAGGACGGGGTTCTGTGACCGACACCTGTGCTTAGGAGAGGCCTGAATGAAGCATGCTGTCTGCCCAGCCCTTTGGAAAGAGTAGGGAGAGGGCAGAGGGCCCTTGGCCAGAGATGTATGGCTCGGAGAAGCTCCGGGAGTGCCCCAGGCAGCCTGGCCCGGAGCAGACACGCGTCTGCACCCCACAGGGTGGGCTAGGCTTCATGTCTGCCTGCTGCTGTGGGCTCCTGCTCCTGCACTGCCCACATATGCATCCAATTGCACACACCTGTATTCTCTTATGGTCAGGGAGTGACGCATGCATCTGTTCGTTCTGTACACCTGTGCTTCCACTCACAGTGGGAGCCAGCACAGGGTAGGTGTGGAGATGGGGCCCTGGGCCCCCTGGGGACTCTGGAGGCATGGCCACATGGGCCTGGGCTCCAGAGCCGAGCTAGGGGCTGGCCCCACGAGGGCTTGGGGCTCAGTTGTACTTGGACACCTTTTCTGAACCCCTGGCCTGTTCCTTCCCTAACTCCAAAGACTGCACCCCTGTAGCCCAGCACCCAAAGCTCAGTTTCCAAGAAACCTCAGAAAAGGTTGGAGAAACTGATTCTTCCTTCTCTACCTCTGTGACTCTCCTTCTGGCCTCTCTCCGCCAGCAGCATCCCTGCTCTTGGCCTCCTCAGGCACAGCCCAGGCCACTGCTCTGCCCTCAGCCCACAGTCAGCACAGACCGTGTGCAGGAGGGAGGAGGGAGCCAGCTTGGACAGGGTGGGCCTGTGCGGACTTCGGTGGCTCACAGCCTGGCCGTCCACAAGAACTCCTGGGAAATTGCTGCTGCCTGGGTCCACCCCGCATCTCGGGAAGGGCTCAGGCTTTGGTCTTTGCAAAGCGTATTAAGTGTCTCTTCTGTGCAGCCAGTCTAGAAGAATTCTTATTGATGTAACAGTAAATCAGAGCTAAAACCAATCGTGCTGGTTGGGGATACTTACATAAGCATCCGTGTAGTAAAAGCATGAAGATGTGCAATGGGATGAAATGAAATCCAGGAAAGTGGTTGTTTCCAGGTGCTGGAGCCAGGGTGATAATACGGGAGGTGAGACGCTTTCACCGTAGTTACAATGCTTCACTTTTTAAGCAGAGTGGTGGGGACATGGTATTATTTTATACTTTACAATTTGGTTCAAATAAGTTAAAGAGGGGAAAAAGCATGATGTTTGCAGTCAGATGGACCTGGGTTTTACGTTCTCTTCTGCCTCTTACTAGCTGTATGACCTGGGGCGAGTACGTGACCTCTGTTTGAGAGAGGCTATTTCGCTCTGTGGTTTAACCATCTATTAAATACAGCTGCATGAGGGTTACTTAAGGTCTAACACTCCTTCCCTGACCCTGCCTGTGTGTGCCTGGTCCTCAGCCTGGAGCAGGCTGCTAATTTCCCCTGGGCCTCAAACGTCTCCATCACCGAGGGATGGCATCACGTCCTGAGGCACGGCACCTGAGGCAAGCGTGAGAGCTGGGACTGCCTGTTCCTTACAGGTTTCTTTGTAGGGAGGAGGAGGGGGACTCAGGGGAAGGAGGTTGAGCTCCAGCCTGGGTCTCTTCTCCAGATCCCTCTGCTGCCTCTCCACTGAGTGGAGCAGGGCGGGGGTGGGCATGGCTCTGAGAATAACTTACACAGAGGTCTTCCATGAAGGACATTCGCAAGGGAATGAGGGCGAGCCCACCCCACTGCCCAGGGCTCAGCTGTGTCTGGAGGGAGAGCAGCCGGGGTAAAACCCTCCCTTCCACAGCCCCTCACAGGGATGCAGCTGTTGGGGTTACACACGGCTATTTGGATTCTGTGCAACCAGGCAGTATGTCCACTCTGAGGAGGACAGCGTGGGGAGGCCCCCTGGGCAGGCAGGGTGTCTGTCTACACACGTGCACACACTCACACATGCAGTGCACACCTATCTGTGTGCCAGGCCTGGCCGTGGAGTAGGAAAGGAACTCAGACACCGTTCTCATTGGACAAGCTTAAAACACAATGTGGCTCAATTTTTATTTTATCTCAGAAAAAAACATTCCCTTCAGAAGGAAAGGCCGTTAGGGCCTCTACCTGGGCAGCTCTGAGCTAGCCCGGCGCCCCCATGGCCGCCAGCCCAGGCCTCCTCCCCTGAGCCGGCTTTCTGGCACCACTCCACTACAACGCCCTGTCCTCAAGCCCAGCTTGGTCGCCCCAAGAGATGGCCCTGGGACTGGCGGGGTAAGAAGTACGCGGCAGCTTACAGCAGTGGGAGAGGGCTGCCTGGGACTCCCTGGGCCGACGCCTGGTGCCAGGTTAGCAGCGGGGCCGACAGCAGACCTCGCAGCCAGGGAGGGACAGTAATAAAATAAAAAGGATATCCTCACGCTTACATTTTCTCCTGGAAAATATAGTCAAATGCCACTTCCAGGCACAGCAGCTCCCAAGCCCTCGGAAATCTGGGGAGGGTGGTGTGTGTGGCAAGAGCCTCTCCCAGCTCAGGGCCAGCCAGCCTACTCTACCACGGCTGCTCTGCAGAGACAAGGTGGCCCTTCTAGATGCTTCCGGAGTGGGGACCGGGCCCTGCCCAGCCAAGATGCTCTGGTACTGTGGCCCTGGCCTGGTGCAGCGTCTTCTAGCATGAAACGTCCGCTTCCTCGGACTCCAAACCCTTCTTGCTGGGCCTCATGCTGTGCCAGCCAGGGCTCCCTCCTCAGTCCACAGTGGGAACCAGCCACGAGAGGGGTCTCCCAGCACATTCTCTCTTCTCCCAACATGACTGGTTCCGACGACCAGAAAGAGAAAGATTTTCTTCCCTTAGGAAGAGGCAAACTCAGCGGCTCATCAGGACACTCCTGCTCCATCCTGGGCCAGGGGGCCCTCGAGGCCAGGGGACTCTGGGCATGATCCCCTGAGCTCATGGCTGAGGAGCTCCACGTCTGGGAGGCCCATGTCCCCATGGAACTCGCAGGCACCTCCTCCACTCACTAGTCCCAGGGCATAGCCATTGGGCCGCCGCTCCGGGGTAGGGGCGCTCCCGTTGGCCAACACCCCAGGAGGGTGGCCATTGAGGCGGAGGCTGATCTGCTCTCCCTCACTGCCATGAGCCGCCAAGGTCCGGGCACTGGTGCCACCTGCCTTGAAGGGCTCCCGCTGCCTCAGGATGTGGCTGCGAATGATCTTGCGGAAGGTCTGGCGGAACTCGCGGATGCGGTAGGCATAGATGAAGGGGTTCACCACGGAGTTGGAGTGGGAGAGGATGATGGCCAGGTACATGAGCCAGGGAGGGGCATGTTTGCACTCAGGGCAGAAGAAGGTGAAGCAGTTGATGATGTGCAGGGGCAGCCAGCAGAGGGCAAAGAGCCCCACGATGATGGCCAGCGACTTGGCCGCGTGGACCTCCTTCTGCAGTGTGGACCGAGCCCGCTCCCCGGGCAGAGGCTGGCTCTCCATCTGCTTCAGCTGCCGCCGGGCTGCCAGGAAGATACGCAAGTAGATGCCCAACATGAGCAGCAGGGGCACCAGGACACAGGCAAAGAAGTTGTAGTACACCATGTAGTTCATGGGGACCACGTACTCAAAGAGACAGGCCACCTGGCCCTCCCCGCAGTGCTTCGAGTGGTTCCTGCCATCCTTTGGCTGATGACTGCAGTTGTTCCAGCCTAGCATGGGTGTCAGGCCGATGGCAAAGGACAACACCCAGCAGACGGCAATGATGCCCTTGGCCCTCGCACCGGTCACCAAGCCATTGTACCTAGGGGAGAAGAGACCAGAGTCAGAGGCCTGAGAAACCAGGGCTGGGCAGAGCCAAATGTCAGAAACCCACACACCACTCCCTGCCTCCTAGCTCAGCATCCTCTGTTCAGTGGCGGGCCTCACAGGAGGCAACGGGAGAGCAGGCACCTGGGAAGGAAACCACGGCACAGACGGTCAGATGATTATTGAACAGTATTACAAGTAGTCCTGGGACTTAATTAGTTTGGTCTGAGGAAATCAGTAGTGATGACTGGGGGTGGGGAAGTTATCACCTCCTTATTGATCTCAGCTGATGCTAGAACAGGTTTCCCTTAGAGTGGGGACGGGGCAGGAGGGGGCTCACTGGCCAAGGGCAGAACCAGCCCAATCAGACCTGTCTGTGATTCCCATCTCTTTTCTCGATGCTCCTCCTTCCCCATCCTGACTTAGGGTCTCCAGAAGCCCCCAGGAAGAGGTGGCACAGGGGATAAAGAAGGGGTAGAGGTCCCAGGCCAAATGAGACCTTCTCTCCTCTCCAAATTCACCCACAACCCTCTGGAGAGATGAGATATGTGTGTTTTAGCGTTTAGGTAGCAGTGTTAACATTCCCAAGGACAGAGTTGCACGAGGGACTGAGGTCCAGAGAGGACAACTACTCTGCCTGCACGCTCAGCACTCTAGAGCCACGCTTTTCAACCTTTTCATCTCATGGCACACATGACCTAATTCCCGAAATTCTGCAGCACACCAAAAAATACATTATATTTTTTGCCAATCTGACCAAAGGAAAAAAATAGGTATACTTTTGATTCATTTGCACCAGACAGCTATTGTTGTGTGGGCTGTTGTCATTTTCAATTTGACAATCTAAAGGAAAAGAGGTCAGTACCACTGACTAGTCAGGTATTGCAGGTTTTAAAAATTCTGGCAGCCCTGCCAGTGTGGCTCAGTTGGTTGAGCATCGTCTCATGCACCAAGAAGTCACTGGGTCAGGGCATGTGCCTGGGTTGTGGGCTTGATCCCCAGTAGGGGGCGTGCAGGAGGCAGCCAATCAATGTTTTTCTCTCGTTCTCTCTCCCTTTTGCTCTAAAATCAATAAAAACATATTCTATAAATAAATAAGTAAAACAGAAATTCCTGCAGCACGCCAGTGTTCCGAGCACACTGGTTGAAAATCACTGCCCTAGGGAGCCAGACTCAGTCCTAGACTTGGGGAGTGGCCTGATCTGCTGGCCAGGAGATGACCCCAGGCCCACAGTAATGGTGGTATAGATTTTATTAAAAGAACCAAAAATCCCTCTCCCTAGTTGAGGGAGGCGACTCAGTGATCACTGAGAGAGGACCTGTTTAACAGTTCTGACTCTGGCTACACCAGACTGTCCTCCCCTCGTCTGGCAAACCCTCCCCATCCTGCTGGGTACCTTCTCGCAGAGGCTTGCTGCTGAAGTGCAACTCATCTCTACCCCCTCTGGGCCCCCAAGGCTGGGGCTGGGGGGTGGGGCTTCCCTTCACCCATCTCTGCATCACCATCGTGGAGACGGATGCAGCAGGTGCCAAGGAGAGTGTGCTTTACTTAGTCCCAGAACAGAAGCACCCACAGAAACAGCCTGGTCCGTGGCAGCACACACGCAGGCCTACGGGTAACAGCTGTGCAGCGTGCTGGGGGCTGTGTGCTCTGTGTGCAGGAGGTGGCTGGTGCTGCTCGGCCCCTCGCTGCCACGCAAAATGTGTGCCCAGAACTGCTGGACCAGGGGCAGCTGGGCAGCTGGTTTTCTGCGTAAAATCTCCCATGGTTTAAATTTTGTCAACTAATTCAAAATAAGAAAACAAGAACAAAAACTTAGTGGTCTCAGAGCTCTTATCTAGCCCTCATTTTATAGGTGGGGAAACTGAGGCCCAAGGAGAGGAATGGACTTGCTGTGGACATTCCGGGAACCCAGAGGCAACTCAAACCAAGGTCAGTCTGTCGGTTCTGAAACTATGCCAATTCTGAATGCACACAGTAACTGGGCAGGGCCACTCCCAGAGCGCCACAGCCCACAGGCGGTGGGGGCGCTTGGTGCCCACGTTAGGGTTGTGCAGAAAGAGGGCCATGGACTTGCCCATTTCTAGTACTCTGGGGCCTCAGATGCAAAGCCGCGGGCTTTTCCGTTTCTTTCCGCATTTCGTACGCAGCACTTGCTTGGAGCCAGGCACGGGTTTTGTACTCCACAGACACTGATTTATGCAATCTCATCGAACAGAGGCTCTTTTAATGTTAACATTTTCCTGAGGAAAGTATATCCTTCTCTGGGTTCTAGAGCTAGTGTGTTCCTGTCATTCTGCCTCTCTGAGCCTCAGTTTCCTCACTTGTAAAATAGGACTAAGAACCCGGAGCCTGTGACACTGGCCCATAGGGCAGAACGTAGAATCCATGGGTGGAAATTACAGGCAGGCAGATTACAGCCAGACTCAGGTAAGAGCCTCTCAGCTGAGCCATTCACAGGAGAAATGGGCTGCTTGGGCAGTCGTGAGCTTCCTGACATTTGAGGCAATCAAGCAGAAATAAACAGTTCTAGGCATGGTGTAGAGGACCCTAGAGGCCACCTGCTTTGGGGATTTTCACGTTGTTCTTCAGCCCCAGACCTTCTCGCCGCACTCTGAGGGTTACAGCAGAGGAGCTGTGGGAAAAGAGGGGCTTAGTCACCGAAGGAGGGCATGGTGGGGACGCCAGGGCAGCCTGAGGCTTCTGGGGACAGGGTCTGAAAACCTCTGATCCGTCCAGTTGTGCAGGGAAAGCCTGCCACTGTGTCCGCAAGGAAAGCCCCCCGTGGGGACAGAAACAAGCACACCAATGGCACTTCCCTCTGTGTGCAAAGGTCTTTGGAAGGGTTCCCAAGGCTGGGGGTGGGCAGGGGCCAAGGGGGCAATTTGTCACCATCTACCCTCTTGTTCTTTTTTTTTTTTTTTTTTATCCTCACCCGAGGACACTTTTTCATTTTTTGTTCAGACAGAGCAGGAGGGAGAGAGAGAGAGAGAAACATCGACGTGAAGGGACACATCGAGTGGCTGCCACCTGCACGACCAACCAGGGCCGGGGACAAACTGCAACCGAGGTACATGCCCTTAGCGGGAACCGAACCCGGGTCTCTCCAGACCGCAGGCCGACGCTCTAATCGCTGAGCCAAACCGGCCAGGGCTCCTCTTGTTCTTTTTTGATGTTTTAGTACTCATAGGTATTATTTATTTTTTTAAAAAACACCAAACAGATTTATTTTGTAATTGAAAGGAAAGCCCTTAGATTAAGGCCCTGGACCCAGGTCCCCGAGGAGCTGGAACAGCACTGGGGCCCAAATGGTACAATGACCAAACCACAGCCTGACCCCGCAGCATCCCCAGGGCAGCGTCTGGGCCCTAGAAACAGCCCGTCCGGTGGAAGGGGTGACGTGGCCATCCAGCATGTCCCAGGGAGCCCGGAGACACGACAGGAAGTGGGTGCCAGAGCCACTGCCCACATTGGAGGTACCTCGGCCTCCCTGTGTCTTCACTCATAAGCCGCCCCTCCTGGGGGTTCCCTGTTACCCACATTGAGGGCGCACCCCATGATCTGAAAATACCCCCCACAACTCCAGGTGGGGCTTCATTCATGTGCATTTGCCCTGACTGGGGAGAAGGGAAGTTTCCCTAAGTTGTCCAAAGGGGCCAGATAGCCAAGGATGCAGAGCCACTGGCCCACATGCCATCCTGGGCACCGGCAGGCCTGGGCTGGCCTCACACTTCCTGCCTGCTCTGTCTCCACCACCTCTCCTCGGCCCAGAGTCCCAGGCCTGTTCCTTCCTGGGCCTCTACCCTCCTGTGGACCTCCTGTGGCAACTGCCCCCCACATCCTGCAAGACCTAAGCTCACCTCCTCAGGGAGCCCTCGCTCCTGTCCTGCCTCCTTATCGGGGCATTCAGGCTCTGTCCCCATGGGGTGAGTCACCACGCGCGGCGTCAGGCCTTCGCACCGATGCCCCGATGCCCCGTACTCAGCCTGTATCCCAGGGAGAGAGACTGCCCACCAGGGGCTGTGACAGGTGACAGCAGCTGAGAAAGTTCCCTGGGCAAAGAAAGCCGGTGTGTCGCCCTGGCCTCAACCCTCTGGGCTCCCAGCTGTGCCTCTGACCAGGCTTCGTGCTCACTGACTTCCTGACTAGACGCTGCCTCGCCCACCAGGGTCCCTGCCTCGGGAAGGAGCACACAGGTTTCTCTGAAACCGAATTCTTAAAAAGGAAAGTAATGGTGAGTGGCACAGGCCTGGGGCGAGGCATCCAGAGCACGGTCAGAGGCCAGACCTCAGAGCAGCCGAAGAGCCTACTAAGTGGAGTGGAAATGGCTCCAGAGGGCACGGGGCTTCCTGGAAGGGGACGGGGGAGGGCAGGAGCGCAGCCCAGCCAGGCAGGCGCTCCAGATTCTCCTGGGCCTCCCTCAAGTCCCCCTGGCCCAGCTGGCCCTCAGGAGCCCCCACAAAGACACCTTCATGCACCTCACCTTCCTGGCCCCTACCAGCCCCGGACTCTTGAGGAATAGGAAGGTGGAGGGACCCAAGGGAGCTTGGAACAGCGTGTAGGGCCTGGAGTCCGCCGCTTCAGGAGACACTCCGAGGGGAAGGCTGGCAGCATCCTCGTCTCTGTCAGTGCCCAGATCCAGGAGCCCCAGGCGAGGCCGTCCAGATCTTTATCAAGGGATCGGAGCTCAAATGGCCAAGGTCTGGGTGGGACTAGGTCCTGTTCCAGAAGGTCATGGGAGTAAGGAGGGGGTGGGCAGGTTCATGCTCCATCCAGGGCCTGGCTCTGAACCTCCAGCAGCTCAAGAAAGAGCCGAGTCTCCACTCGCCCACCCCACCAACCACCTGGACCCTCACGCACCTCTGAGCTCAGAGAGGCCGGTCCCCTCACGACGAGGAAACGGCCCAGAGGACAGCTGCCTTTCCAGGCACACTGCACGCCCCGTCCTCCAGGCCAGGAAGCCATTCTTCTGACTCTCAGAAAACAGAAACAAGGACACGAAGCTGAGCCCCTCTCCCTAGAATGCTGCTGCTCTGTACGTGGGGGAGAAGCGACAGCGAGGCCTCTGCCGCCAGGGCCGGCCTGCCCCAGCCCACGCCCCACCTGCCCTGTCGTGGACACCAAGCCTCTGCGCGGCGGGCCACCGGAGCCCGTGGACACACCTTCATATTCTGAGCTGTCCCTCGACAAGCTTGGACTCGGTTCTCGCTGCCACTTAGCCTGGCCCTCTGTTTGACCAGGTCCTAGGCTCTCCTGAGACGCAGTGTCCTATAGGGGCTCAGCTCGTCTCCTCGACTGAGCAGCATGACGAGGGTGCCTGCTTGCCTCTTAGAGCCTGGTGACACGAACGGTCACCTGGTGCAGGTTCTGGGAGACCAGGGCCACTGTGCGACCCAGCTTCCCAAAGACAGAAGTCACAGTGGGTGGCCACGGTTCTGCTTAGGCTCAGTCCCAGCTGTGCTACCAACTCACTGTGTGGCCCTGAGGGCCGGCCCTCTTCTCTGGGCCTCATTTTCCATCCAGAAAAGAAGAGGAAATGACCTCTAAGGGCCCTTGGGTTTGACACTGAATTTCCACTCGCTCACTGATCCCGCTCCTCCGCAGGCTGGGGCTCCTGCTCCATGGGTAGGCGCCCCACCTATCTGGGAGAATTCATGGGGGGATGGGGTACCCCTGTCCTTGGAGACCTCCCTGAGAGCGTATAGCCACCCAGGCCATCAGGATGGAAGGGCAGGGAGGCCTGGGCGCCCGTTGGGAAGCCTCATCCAGGGCTGGGTAGGTGGAGGTCACACTAAGTAAACTTAGCCTCAGGGAAAGTCTTCACTTACACAAGAAGGGGCTGAAGTCACTGCACAGATTCACCATAAAAACCCCTCTGCCAGCCCGCGGCACAGGCTGCCTCCAAGCCAGTGACCTAAGGAGCACGGAATTTGCATATAGGTTCGAATGACTCACTGTGGCGTTCGGCCAAGTCACTTCCCCTCTCTGGGTCATTCTCCTCATGTGCAAACTTCAAGACTGCCCCGGGAGCTGGAGGCCAAGGCAGGCTTCTAGCTGAGACTGTGGTTTCCCCTGCCCCGCCCCTGCCCCAGTGTCATGCCATGTGCAGAGCAGCCCAGACACGCTGCCCAGGCCCGGTCCATGCACAGCTGTAACAGCCACAACATGGCAGCCTCCACCGGGGGAGTCTGGGAAGGGTCAGGGTGCCTGGGGTGTCCAGGGAGGGCCAGGGTGCCCTGTGCCCACAGGGATCAGCTAGACTGGTTTGATTGCTGGCGATGTGCCCAGCCCTGGGCAGCCCTAGACCGAGCCCCATGGTCGTGGCATTTCAACCTGACACCACAGACGAAAGCCCGACCGTGGGTTTACGCCGACCACGGGCACAGACCGGGCCCTGGGACAGGCAGCCTGAGCAGACGTGAGCCCAGCGCAAGGTGCGCTGGGGAGAGTGCAGGGCAGCCCGGCCCAGCACCGAGCTCACCGGAGTGGGATGCGGATGGCGATGTAGCGGTCAATGGCGATGGCCAGGAGGCTGAAGATGGAGCTCTGCGTGAGGACCAGGACGAAGCAGGCAAAGAAGAGGCAGCTGTGGCAGGCGGCACAGAACCCTATGCTGATGGTGATGGCGAAGGGGATGGCAAGGACGCCCACTGCGATGTCGGCTGCTGCCAGTGACACCACGAAGTAGTTGGTGACGTTCTGCAGGTTGCTGTTCTGCCACACAGCCCAGCACACCAGCACGTTGCCCAGGACGGCCAGCACGGCGATGGCCAGCTCCACCACGATGTACACCGAGGAGCCCATGGCAGGCACAGCCGCAGGCGGACGGAGTCGGCGAGGACGCGGGCCGGGCCCGCTCACGGTCCATAGCTGCAGTGCAGCTGGCCCGGCCAGGCCCCTGAGCCCCTTCCTCACAGGAGCCAAGCGCGTCCCTGCTGGTGGAGGTGGGCTCTCTAAGTGCTTTGGCACAGCTGGCTCAGTCTCAGAAAGCAGGCCCCTCCAGTGGTTCTGGCGGCATCTTGGCTCAGCTCAGCTTCAGAGTTCCTGAGGCACCTGCCAAAGAAGAGAGCTCGTGAGGACCCCTGCAGAGTGGCACAGCTGGAGATTCCGGGGAGAGGCCCGAGCCCCAGGCTCTGCGTTTTTCTAGGGGAGCCGGGAAGCTTTCAAAGTTCAATCACCCATATTAGTCCCCCATGCTCAGCTTCTGAAGCTTTCTGCGGCAGCCCTCTTAGTCTTCTGGTCCCTGAGCCCACTGCCACCCCTGCGACCTTCCCAGAAAGGCCCCCTCACCCCTGGGGCTTTCCCAGGCCCACCTACCTTCTCTATCCGCCAGCCTCAGCCTCAGCCTCAGCCTCAGCCGGCTCCATCCCTGAGAGATCTCCCTGGGAACTACCAGCCCCTCCCTACCTGGCCCAGGTCAGGAGCAGGCTCGGACCCCTGGAGCTCCCATCTGGACGGATCCGTGGGGCTGTCTGGTCCTGTCTCCAGCAGCTCAGCTCTCCTGCCTTCCCAGGGGTGCCGCACAGGGTGGTGGAGCAGGACAAAGGCAGCCCGCCCCTCGCAGCCCCCGCCAGCTGACTGCGCATCTGGGCGGGGCAGCAACCTCCCCTCCCTCCTCCCACGCCCACTCCCCAGCCTGTTCCTCTGCTGGCTGACTCCGGGACAGACTGAACTCAGGTTGGTGCCAGAAAGCGGGGCTCTCACCCACGACTTGCTGGGAGACTGCGGACAAGAAAGTTTTTCCTTTCCGGGCCTCAGTTTCCCCACATTAGCCTCTGGGGGCCATTTCAGCACTCACCTATGATTCTATGAGAAGGAAATAAACCGTTTTGAAAAGGCTTCCCCCGCCAGCCCCGGGGCCTCTACCCATTGCCTCTGTCCCAACCAGTCACGCTCACGTGTGCTCACGGTGGACCCTATGCCAAACCCACCCCTCTCCAGGCCTGGGCTCTTGTGGGACTGCAGGTGTGCATGGCTGCGGCTGCCACCCGCCCCAGACGAGACCCGGAGCCTTTCAGCCACCCGCACGTGGGCTCTGGGAGCTGCGTCCTCCCTCTGCCCTCCAGGAGTCGAGGGGTCCAGTGGGACTGCCGACCTTGGGAGAAGGTCCCTTGCCATGTTCAAAGGGCCAGGCTACCCCGACCCTGTCTGGCAGGTGACAGAGGGCTGCAACAGATGAGCCCCAAGTTTCCTTCTAACTCCAATGTGCCTTGGTGGCTACAGCCGAGGGGCATTCCTCGTGCCCACTAGGAGGCTGGGAGCAGGGCACCGAACACCAGGCAGCAGGAGGAGAGAAGAGGAGGGCAGGTCCCTGAAAATCCAAGGGGTTCCCACACCTTGGGCTTCTCCTTGGCCTGGCACCAAGGCACATGAACGAGTCCCACTGAGCTCCTGCTATGCACAGGGCACTTGCTAGCCAGCTGCTCACAAAGTGAGTCACATGCCAGCGTGGGCCATATCGGCCACACAGAATGTCCCTCAGTGCCCTCCAGCCTGTAGCCCTGAGCAGCATTCACCAGGGGCCCCCCGGCTGTAGAGGCTGTGTGTCCAGGGTCTCATCCTTGTTTTGCAGAAGGGAAGAGACGGGCCCAGGCCTGCCTCCCACCGGAGGCCTCCCTGGCCCAGCGGTAGCAGCAGCAGGCCGCTGTCTAATCAGGCCCAGCGAGCCCCAGGGAGCCTCCCGCCACCAGGGAGCTGCCCACCCTCCTAGCTCCTCACAGCTGTCTGTGTCCTTCTGACTCCAGCACCAGCCTCTCCAGGAGAATCTGCACAGAGAGGTGTCACCTCTGTCAATTCGACCAGCCTAGGCTAGAAGCCTGGCTCAGCCCCAGATCACCTTCCAGATTCAGAGGGCCCTGCCAAGGAGCAGATGCGGTGAGACCGTCAACGATCCACCTGACCACAACACGCACCACATTTTTTTGGAGCTGAAGCCAGTCAAACCATCAGCACCTGCCCTGGATGCCAAGTGGACTCCATGTGAGCCAGGATGCCCAGTGTGGAAGGGTTTTGGATGGGCCTAAGCCAGGCCTCTGCTCAGCAAAGCTTTCCCAGCAGCCCCATGATGCCTGCGGACCCCCAGCCCTCGGGGTCTCCCACTGCCTTCTGCACTCTGGGCTTCCAGGCCGAACAGCACCTGGTACCAGTGTCCTTCCTGACTGCCTTCCTGCTGTCCACCAGGCCTGGGATGCCCGCCCTGCCTGCCCCCAGTCTCACTGGATGCAACAGATCCTCTTGCCCAGGTCAACCCTGCAAAAGCTGAACTCACACCTAACGCCCCGGCCAGCTGGGTCCTACAAGGCTGCCCTGTGCACGTCTGCCTCCCCGTGCAGCCTCTGACGGCGCTCCTGCAGACTTCCAGACGCTGCCAGAACGTCCGGAGGTGAGGCTGGCCTGGCCCCGCAGGCAACCTGGGCATCTGCCAGAGAGGATCTCCCAGTCAGGAGCCAGCACATCAGTGGAGCCTGAGGCACCGCGGGGCGGGCAGGGAGGAGACCAGGGTTTTGTGGGAAGATAGGAACTTCCCAGCCATGGGCCAGCAAATCGGCCTGGGGCGGGGCCACCATGGCTTGCGGCTTTTGCCTGACTTTGTGGTGTAAACTCTCCCGGTGTGGCCAATTTCAAGTTCCTAATGTCACTGACAGGAATTAGGAATCACTGCACAGTTTCAGACGTGTCTCCAGCCACCACGGAGCCACCAAACCCTGTGCTCTCCCAGGGGCTACCTGCCTGGGTGAAAGGCCTGCACCCCAGACCCTCTCAAATGGCCTGTGCATCCTCACAGGGGTGTGTTCTCACTGTTCCCATGAACCCCATTTTACAGATGACAAAGTTAAGCCCCAAGGAGGTTAAGGACCTCTCCCAGCCTTACATGAGCATCCGCTGGGGAAATGCCCATGGAAAACACGCGGAAGATTTCCTGGGGCCTCCTGGCCCCTCTCTGCTCGGCTCCCTTCTGAGGCCTCCCAGCTGCAGGAAGGTGGGAGGGAGCCCATGGGGGTGGGGTGGGGTGGGGGTGGGGCCAGGATCTGGCAATTTCCGAATCCTCTCTGTGGCTTTGTCCATCTCATTAATCCTCGAGTCTTCTGTTGCTAGCCAGGAGGGGAAATTAAATATTAATCATGTATTATTTGCCTGTGATTGTCCCATGCTGGGGACAGAGCAGAGGTCGGAAGCTGTCCCACATAAACTAGAGACACATGCTGGGGGCCGTGCATGATAAGCCTTGGAAGGACAACCCCGTGGGATTCCCAGCAGTCGGACTCCAACCGCCACTTCTCACCTTCCTCCTCACCCTCACCGGCCTGGCCGTTTTAATTAAAACTCCATTTAATCAAACCTACATATTTCCTGGCCCAATTCTGGCTCCTTGTGTCAGACTAGCGAGGCTTTCTGTACACATGCCCAGATGGTGGCTGTACCCCCCAGAGCCTGCTGGATGGAGGTGCCCGCCAGCTTCCAGGCAGGACCCTACATTTCTGCTCTTGGGTGTGGCTAAGGGCAAAATACCGAGTCCAGCGAGTGCCGCAGACCTGCTGTAGCCACACTGGGCCCATTCCTGGGCTCCAGAATCCCAGCCTTAGAACACTCCACTGCTTTCTCATAAGTGTTTCCCAAATGCCTACTTAGTGCCAGGCAGCTGCTGGACCGCAGGGTGCTCTGTGCCACCTGCTGCTGAGCCTGGTCCTAGCAGGGCCCTGAACCCACAGCAGGGTGCCTTGAAGAAGGATTTGTCCCAAGAGACTGTCCTGAGAGCCAGCTGCTACCCTGGTGACTTTCAAAGACATTTAGGATCTTCAAAGAGATAAAAGAATAGCATTCATAAACAAGAATGAGAACTTACGAATCAGTGGGCAGAAATGAAACAACAGGCATATATGGACAAGAAACACCACCAAGTCATAATCTCAAATCAAGAAATAACATCAGAAATGAAGCAGAGGGACTGAGGCAAAGAACCCAATCAAGCTGACGTACTTCGGGAGTGCAGCTGGGGATTTGACCACCACTGAGAAATTCTCACCGTGACTTTACAAAGTGACAATGTCTGTAAGGAGACAGTTGAGCGACAAGGAAGGCAGGTTAAGAAGCACCAACCTCTGTCTTCAGGGAGCTCAGTGGGAGTGTAAAGAGGGCAACAAGCAGAGAAGAAATAGCCGGACAGGCAGTTCAGCTCCTGTTCCCAACCGCAGCCTGCCGGCTCTGCCCTGACTGGCCTTTGGTGTGGCCCAGGCCTGGGCAGAGCCTCCTCCGGCCGGGGACCCCCCAAGCCCCTCCTGTCTTGGTAGGTGCCCTCTGGCACTGCCTAGAAGCGAGCAGCCACCACGTAAGAAGTAAGTACTGCTGCTGCTTCCCTCCCTCCTCCCGCAGGGTTGCCCGAGCTCCAACTGCCACCTTCAGGAACTCCGGTCCCCAGGTGGTGCCCCCTCCCCCACTGCCCCTTGGGTGTGTGGCTGCTGCTCTCAGCCCCTGGGGGCAGGATGTGGGCAGGAACAGGGTGGAGATCCAGCTCCCTGCACTGAGCCTGGCCCCCAGAGTAGACTCCACATCACCTGCGCCCATGGGTGCAGGGCTGGCCCTCGCTCCCTTCTCCCCACTGGGCGCCCACAGTCCCCTCCCATCTCCACATGTCCAGATGCCCCAGAGGCTGTAGTCCCCCCTTGTCCCAGCCCGAGGTGGCCACTCACCCCCTCACTGGCCACCTTACCTGACACCCCCTCCAGGGACCACTCCTCAACACTAGGCGCTGAGTGCCCACCAGTGGTGGAAGGAACCCAGATGGGACCCCACCCCTGCTCCGTCCAACACTCCCTGAGACCAGCTCAGGGCTTCCCCTCTGTGTGGAGGCTCCTTGTATGCTTACAGCAGGCCACGGGGAGCGCTCTGCACCCAGACCTCCCTCGAGTGAACCCTCCGATGGCAGGTAACAGGCACGGTGATGCCTGAAGGGGGCACATGGGGTGCTCTGGATGGCCATGAGAACACAGACCTGGTGGGCCTGGGGTGGGACCCCGACAGGGGCTGGCCTGTTGAAGGGGCAATGCCAGGTGCAGGGCTGCAGGGGCTCGCCAGAGGGCAGCTACACTGAGGACAGGAGGGAGGCAGACCTTCCCAGGGACCCTGGAGGTGGGTGATGGGCCCCAGGAGGCTGAAGGGAGAGGGCAGGAGGGTAACCAGACCGACTGGAGCACGGCCTGGGGCTGGGCCTGGTGCCACTCGGCCCCACCACTGCTCCTTGGTCCCCTTAGTGGACCCTCAAACCCCACTCATAGTTTGCGGAGGCCACTTAGAGGCCAGAGGTGAATGCCCTGTGACAGATGGGCAGAAAGATACCCACCTGGGCGCCTCCGTCCCCGACACCGAGGGGGGCGCCAGCGCTGCTGCCCTCTGTGCGGAGCAGGACTCAGCCTTCCCAGGTGGCGGCTGGCCGACCTCAACGGGCGGAGGTGGGAGCCACTGCCCAGCGGTTTCTAAAACAGGCCTGACCTGCGGCAGCAGGTGTGGGCCCCAGGGAATCTGGAAGTCTTCTGAGGAGGGGCGGTTTGGGCTGGGCTTGGGAGGATAGGGAGGGGAGAGGAGAGAGGGAGCGATCCCAGGCAAAGATGACAGCCTGGGTGAGGCTCAGAGGCATATCAGAGAAGGCCTGAGGGGTTGTCTAAAGCGGGAGAACCCTTCCTTCCCTGGGTGTACCCCCTTCCCTGGGCTGGAGTGAGGGATAGCTGCTCTTCCCCTCCAACCAGAACCCCCTGTCCCCAGCAGGATCCCATGACTTCCAAGCCACAGGGGCCCCTCCCATGATTCTGTAGGCTGGGCTGGGGGACTTTTGCCTCTGAAATGCCCCTTCTCCCCACCCAGAGCTCGCAGGCCCTGCCCAGGAGACCACTCTCCTGGGGTCTCCTTTTTGCATCAGCTCTAAGTTCCTGCCCATTCTCCACTTCCCTTCCACCACCTGGGCCCAGCAGACCTCCAGGGACCCACTCTCAGGTGCCGCATCCCACTGCCCCATCAACTCCTCCCTTGTGGCCACCAGCGATTCCCTGGGCCCAGACCCTTTCCCGGGGGCTAGGACTCTTCCTTTTTGCCCGCTCAGCACCCCTGACACACACACCAAACCCTTCTCCACCATCCTCATGCCTGTGCTGTCGGTCTGGCCCTCCTTCCCTCGGCTCCCACTGTGCACACGTCTTTCATCACCTAGTCTGAAATGCGGCTGATAAGACACAGGCCATAAGATGGTTGGATGGCATTTCCAGCGCATCTGGGTGAGGGGCTCAGGAATTGGGCAAGTTAGATGGTAGTAAGAACTACTGTGGGACTTTCAGTCACTGTGCAGCGCCACCAAGGAACTGTGGTCCTACACAGCAGGCCCTGCCCAGGGCCACCCAGAGGCCCTGAATTTTGCAAGGTGTAATGAACGCCCTGAAGCCAAGTGCTTTCTCCCAATCCATCTGCGGTCCACATATCCCTCGGCTAACAAACAGTGACCTTGTGGTGTCCCCCAACCCCACAAAGCTAACAGCCCCGTCCACGTTTCCCTCGCTCAGGCTCAGACCCTGGCCTCTGGTCTGCCCTGTCCCCCGCCCCCCCCAGCCGATGCCCGTTTCTCACTCACTCTCCACCACAACTCTCCACAGTAAGCACTGCTCACCAGAAGATGGCTTCCAAGGGGAGTAGCTTGCCCAAGGCCACCCAGCAAGTGAGTCAAGACCAAAACCCACGTTTGAGCAGCAAAATCTCCAGTCCGTCGGGCTGTCCATGGAGCCAGCCATTGCCCTCTTAGGCTGTGGGCTCCTAGGCTGCAGGGCCAGGGTGTGGTCGGAACCTACACTTCACAGGCCAACATGAAGGAGGCACCATGCAAGCCCCCCAAGGCCACCCAGGGCTAGCCTGGCCCAGAGCCCATCTCCTGCTAGCTACCTGGGCGCTCTCAGCCTCCTGGGGTCTGAACAGGAAAGCCAGCTTAGCCCAGAACCTGGTCTGCATGAGGGGATGAGAATGGAGGGGCAGTGGCCTGAGGGATACTGAGACCTGGGAGAGCCAGGGAGACCTTAAAAGGCAAGGGCAGAGCAAGGAGGTGTTGACACCACTACCAGTGGACAAGCCTCAGTGGGGAGCTCCTGCCATGACCCTGCCAAGACCTGGGGTGAAGGGCTGTCCCAGGGGGCTGAGCCTACCCAGCCGACCCAGGATTCCAGGACTAGCCACCTCAGCCCCTGACCCGCAGCACCCTCTCTGGACCACAGCGCTCCCCAGAACTCCCTAGCATGGCCCCCAGAGCCGGGAAACCCAGGGACGGCTGGGCTGGGCTGGAGGGACATCAGGTGTTCTGGAGGTGCCGTGGCTGGGAGTCCACAGCAGCGGGGCAGCAGAGGCTGAAGGGAGGGCAGCCTGAACCCAGGTCGGAGGGGAGCACAAGATCCTGTGGGTGGAACCCGGCCTGGGTGCTGCCTGCGACGGGACGAGAGCTGGCGATAGGGGCCGGCAGCCTAACCCTACCCCAGGCACCAGCCACGACTCCAGTCCTGGGGAACGGGCTGGGGAGCCTCGCCTTCGGGCGTCTTGCTTCTCCCCCTCAGCCCCGCCCCCCAGAACCCTCGACCCCCCATTGTACGGTCAGGGAAATGAAAGCCTAGAGAGGGGTGGCGGGGCCAGAACGAGATGTCTGCTCCACGGCCCTGGAGAGGCGCCCCCCTCCATCCCTCGGGCTGCCCTGCGCCACCCCCAGAGCTGCCACCGTTCCCGCCATTCCCACCTCCGCTCAGGGCAGCCACCCGCGCCCGGCCTCTGGCCTCCTGGTCCCCGAAATCGGGTTCCCGCCACCACCGTGTGTGGGATGTGCCCGCGCTCGGCCGGTCGCCCGACCCCCTTTCTCGCCGCGCCCCGGGCGAGCGCGATGTCGAGCGTGTGCGCACCGCGCCTCCCCGACACCGCCCCGCCCGGGCCGGCCGCCCACGGAAGCCCCCTCGTCCCGAGGCCCCCGCCGCCGCAGGCCGCGCCTCTGCGCCCCCCGCCCAGCCCAGCCCAGGCCTGGCGCCCGGAAGGGTCCCCGAGCGCCCGGGGCGGTCTGTGGCGCCCAGACGGACCGACGGCCATCCCGGCCCGTCACCTGCGGCTCGGACCCGGTCCCCGACCCCGCCGCCGGCCGCCGCGCTCTCGCGCCCCTGGCCCTCCCCGCCCCCCCGGCGCTCCTTCCGGCCAGTCGGGGCGGCCTCGAGGGTCCGCACGCTGCCTGGACCAGGCTTACGATGTGCGAGCTCGCCTGAGCCGCCCTGCGCCGGCCATTCCAGCCGCCGTCGCCGGGCAGGGCTCGGACCCCGGCCCTGCGAACTCCCGCAGGCGGCCGGCACAGAGGTCGGGGCGGCGGGTCCCGAACGGGGAGGGGACCGGAGCCGTCCGGCCCCTACCCCGGCCTGGCAGCCCCGACGGCCCCACGCCGCCCGCCCGCGACCCTTGGGCCCCGGACCCCGGACCCGGGACCCCGGCTGACCTGCTGCTCGCGCGCCGGCTCCCGCTGTCTCGGCTGCCGCTCGGGCTCCGGCTCCAGCCGGGTCGCTCACGGGCGCCCCCTGCAGGCGGCCGCAGGGCCCACGCTGTCCCCGCCCCGCCCCGCCGCGCGAGGAACCCGAAGCCCCGGGTGCGCCGGGGAGGCCGCGGGCGACCGGTGTGGCCGGCCCGAGAGCCTGGCGAGGCCGGTGGTAGGACCGGGGCCGCGCCGCAGCGCGCTCTCCCGGGCTCCGTCGGGCCTCCACCTCCTCCAGCGCCGCACCCCTCCCCTACGTCTCGGGTCCCAGAAGTGCCCTCCCTGCCTGGTGAAGCCTGCTGGGCCGGGTCGCCCTGCCTCCCTCCAGGGAGCCCCCAGGGCCGTCCCTGCCGCGCTGGTCCTCCCGAAGTTTTGCGGTCCCTGATCGTGGCAGCGGGGCTGGGTCTGGTCGGTGCCCCTGCGTCATCCCCTCCCCGACGTCCAGCTGTGACTCTGGAAGTGCCCTGTGCCTACCCCTGCGACAATCCTTCCGTGGCTCTCCAGTACCTGAAGAATAAAGCCCAGCCTCCTTCCCACAACTCAGGGCCCTCAGGGACATGTCCCGCCTGGTCCCCAGCCTTGTCCTCTGCTCCCTGAATCTTGCTTTGAGCTGGTGGTGGTTGGAGGTGGGGGCCGGGCAGGGAGGTTGGCCCCTCAGCTCAAAGATGCCTCTAAGAAGCTGGCCCCAATTTCAAATGACCCCTCTGCCTCTTCCAGCCCAGGTTCTGGGCCAATGCCCCTCCTGTTCTTATAGCCAGGCCAGGCCCTACGCCTCCTCCCCAACTTCTCTGAGCAAAGAGAGGGGGTTACTTTCTGACACACAGACTAACCTGGAATCTCAGACCCTTGGGCCAGGAGTCGTCATCCCCCCAATCCCAGGCCCATGTTCTGAAGACTTCAAATAGGGAATGACCTCATATCCGGCCCCAACTCAACCATACGAGGGGACCAGCCTTTGACACTCACATCTGGACAGACTTAGAGTAACGGATTCTGTGCACAGAATGACCTGCATCAGACAGCCAGGGCGCTGGTGAACAAAGGCTTGCAGGAATCTTTGCATTCTTGCCGGTCCTAGGGACGGTGGGGTTTCAGTGAGAGGCCCAGGCCAGGCTGAACACCGGGGCTGAGACCAGGGCATGCCTCCTGCACAGCTGGGCCTGGAGGGGCCAGCCGGTGGGAAGTGGGGGTGCAGGCCCTTGGCCAGCACGTCTGAGGAGCCAGAACCCTCAACTGTGCCCATCACTTGCCCTAACTCATGACTCAGCCTGGATTGCTGGGCAGCCTCCCTGGGTTATTCCCAGGCTATCTGGGTTATTCAGCCAGCTTGGCTTCCCTGGTCCCCTTCTCCATTCACGTCCAGTGGGGCCATCTGAGGCAGGTGAGGGGGGTGAAGAGTAGGCAAACTGGGAGATGTCAGGACTCAGACACAACTGGAGGAAACTCAAGACCTCATAGGGCGAGGCATGCCTGTCCTGGATGCATTCCCCACCTCAACCTGGCCTGTTCCAACATCGCCCCCCTCCTCTCCAGTCCAGGACTCAAATGGATATGCCATGCTCCCCCGTCCCCCACTTACCTCCATGGAGGGGGAAGGGGGGACTGAAGGAACCTGCCCCTATCTACCCAGGCCCTTGTTTACCCTAGCGAAGGCGCTCCGCACCAGGAGGGGAGCTGGCTGGGCGGTCCTGGGCTATGGCTTTCCTGTGAAATGGGACTGTCTTGTTGCTGCCCTGCCGCCTCCTGAGCTGAGCCAGAGTCAGACCATGAGGTACCCGCTGGGGGCACTATCCAGCCAGAGGACCCTCCCCACAGTCCTCTGTTCTCTACCATTGCTTCTGGGACTTCTAACAGGGGGGACAGAACCCTCCTGCTCCCACCTGTTGGGCCCATGTTCCTTCAAGTTCTTAATAAATATGCAAGGCAGCCCTGGCCGGTTTGGCTCAGCGTTAGAGCGTCGGCCTGCGGTCCAGAGAGACCCGGGTTCAGTTCCCGCTAAGGGCACGTACCTCGGTTGTGGTTTGTCCCTGGCCCTGGCTGGGTCGTGTGGGAGGCAGCCACTCGATGTGTCCCTTTCACATCGATGTTTCTCTCTCTCCCTCTCTCTTCCTCTCTCTCCCTCCCACTCTATCTGAAGAAAAAGCGGAAAAATGTCCTTGGGTGAGGATAAAAAAAAAAAAAAATGCAAGGCACAGCTTGCTTGGGGCCTGGAAGGGACGACAGGGGATCATGGGGCAGAGACCAACATTCAGCCTGCACCGGGGGTCACTCTTGTCCCCTACCCTCCAGCGTGGGCCCCATTGATTCTCTCCCCTGCCATTTTCATTCGGGCCCAGCATCCCTCCCACCCAGACCACCACACGTTTGATCAGGCCACACTTGCCCTACCCTGGCTGTTCCCCACCCTCAGGGGCTGAAGGGTCCATTTCTGCAGCTGGTCCTCAGGGCCAGAGTGCCAAAGCCCTCGGAGTTCACCCTTGGGGCTCAGTGGGCAGCTCCTCACATCTGTGTGGGTACCCCGGGCCTGGGGTAGCTGTGTCCTCAAGCCAGGGGTGGTCAGGCAGGGCCACCTCCAGCCCCAGAGCCAGGTCCCCAGGCCCCTAGAACCCGCCCACCCTGGAGGGAGAGTCAGGTCCATCTCCCCGTGGCAGAGCCAGTCAGAGAAGGGAGCTGCCCCAGGGTCCTGCGTCATGTCATGTGCCTTTGTCCAGGTCTCCAGTGTGCCACTGCCCAGAGACAGCACATGCCGGGACTCCAGCTCAGCGATGACAGGAAGCGGACACTGGGATGACTGCTGACCACTGCAGGCCACGGGCCCTCTGCTGCTGTGCTCCCCACAGCTCGGGAGGCCTGCACCCTGGCACCAGGAGCCTTGCCGCTTCCTTGGTCTTGGCCTTGCTGTGCTCTCGCCAGGCCTGTGCCCCTCCACCCCCCGGTCATGAGAGTCTGAGGAGGCCCCTGTGCAGGGGTCTTCACCTGGGCCAGCCTTCCAGGCTCAAGGGAGCTCTAAAGGTGGGGGGCACAGGACTGCTGCTCCTCAGAGGGCTCAGGGATGTCCTGCCAGGACCCGTCTTCTACCTCTGGGCCTTGGTTTCCCTGCCCAGCCCCAGGCCAGGCTCTGAGGGCTGTGGGCACCCGCCCTTCCTTTCGTCCAGGCCCAGGCTCCTTGGGCCAGCTGGGCTCTCTTGCTCCAGAATTCCGTTCTCAGACTCCCCATCCCCTCCCCACCCTGCGGGCTCTTTGTTTCTGTTCAGGATGCACCTGGGTGGCCTCTGGCCCCTGATTGTTTGCTGTGGGGCCAGCTGGGCCACATCAGGGAGAAAGAAATGCCAGACCCAGGACAAAGCACCAGTAGGTGCTGGGGCCAATTCCCTGGGAACCAAGCAGGCCACCCTGACGTCCTCACTCACCTCTTCTCCAAAGGGGAGGGGCACTGAACACTTCCTGGGGCTCCGGAATTGAGTCAAGTGTCTGTCGGGGGGACCTCACAAGGGCTCCAGGTTACGTCCAGACTAAGGCAGCCCCAAGAAGGCAGAATCATCCCGAGGAAGCTCCCCAGCTGCTCGCAGCCCCAGGAGCAACCCCATCCTCCAGCCCAGTCCCAAGGAGCATGCTTTAGTCCATATTGGCTTCTGTGGGGGTCAAACCACCCCCCCTAGGAACTCCGTGCCTCTGAGCTGATCTGGGTGCATCTGTGTAGATGTGGAAACTGAGGCCCAGGGAGGCATGGGCTAGTCCTGGGCGACATGGTGGGCAGAAGCAGCCCTGTGCATACTAGGGCTTGTCACTCAACACCCGAAGAATGGCCCTAAGCCAGGAGCCCAGACACTGCTCTCAGCAGCCCGCCCCTCCTCACCCTCCCTGCACCCCTACCCCGCTCACAGAGAACAGGTGCCTGGTAGCAGAGTCCAGGAGGGGACCCCCTTCTTGGGATCACCATGCAACAGAGGTGGGAACAGCCCCAACCTGTCACAAGTGTTGGTGGCAGACCTGGGGTGGGGGGAGATGACAACTTGGGTGTCCCGGCTTCCTGCTCAGAGCAACCTGTTTCCTGCCGGATGGGTGCTGGTGATGTGATGTGCCTGTCCTGAGCTCTTCCCTGGCCTGCCCTTCCCATGCCATTTCCTCCTGGGACTGCACACCGGCCTCAGAACCCAGACACTCACTCTCTCTCTCTCTCTCTCTCTCTCTCTCTCTCTCACACACACACACACACACTCTCTCGACTCTGGAGACATCCTCCAAGGGCTCCTGCTGCCTTCCCTTGCCCAGGGACGCCTGGCACAGATTGGGTGGCAGACTTCAGGTTGTGCCATCTCTCTCCAGCCCTCTGATCCGCCCCCCAGCCCGTCAGCGCCAGGCCCTTCCCCCACATCCAGCCTGCTCCCCCAAGTGCTCACTAGGAGCAGGGCTCTGCCCTCCTGACCCCCACCCTGCCCCCTGCACAGCTTCCGCCCAGCCAGTCCTGAACAGCTGGGATCAGAATCAGGCCAGAGCATTCCAGTATACTGGGGCCCCAAATAGAATCCACCCCTCTATCCAACGCAGAGCACAGTGCCTGCAAGCACAAGACCCGATGTCTGTCCGTCCTCCACTTCAGGGACAGCCTCAGACAGACCCAGCCCAACCCGAGGCTGTGGGAAGTGCAGCCCTATGAGGATGGACTCAGAGCTGGTTACCATGTGCTTCCGACACAGGCGGGACCCCAGTCCTGAGACGCTACGGACAGAGGACATGGATCCTTTCTGGAGCTCTCTTCTCCCCTAGGGATGTTTTCCTGCTTTTACCCATCAAAGCCATGGTCCCAAAATGTTCTAGAACCTTCCCTAAGTCAAGGTTTAAGGGGTCACGTCACACTACAAAAGGAACCCCTCACAGTCTGCTCTGGAGGCAGCTGGCATGACAGGCAGGAGGGATGTTTTGGGGAGGGCACCCCCCTTACCTGAGGGGCATCAGCTAAGACAGCCAGTGCTGCCCCTCCCGCCCAGGGGTCCAGGTGGTCACCATTCTACCACGGCGATCAATGTCCACTCCATGCAGGGCCACACAGCAGCCTCTCGCTGACACGGCAGAACGACCTTCAGACACTGCAGGGGCGGACAGCAGCTCAGTGTCTGGGTGACAGTCCCAGGCCCCGGGCTGGTGAGTGGGGCAGCAGGAGCCACAGGCAGGCCGTCCTTTCCGCTCCCAGTCCTGCAAGCGGAGGGTTCAGCACTGTGCTCTGGAAGCCAGACCACAGAGGATGCCCACAGCCGTCAACGCTATTTGGGGGGTGACTCGATAGCACTCACGGTTGACACACCTTAAATCAGGTGGTGGCTCTGGACCTCCAGGAGTGAGTCAATTACTGGATGGACCCCTGACCCTGAGGAGGGGGTTGCAGGCCCAGGAAGGGCACCCCAGGTCAGAGTAGGAGGCAGCCCTAGGCTCCTCTGCATGTGACATGTGCTGCGCCCGTGGACTCATCATCATTCCACACAAGACGCATAGGAGAAAACGGCGTGACTGGCTGGTTGCCGCTGAGTGGTATAATTATCGACTTTTTTAGAGTTCTCTATAATTTTATATACTCTGAAAATTATCTCCAAGAAGATACATTTCTAAAATAACCTAAACCCTTAAGGCACTGCCCCTCCCCAGAACAGCACGTGTTTGGGCTGCAGTTGGGAAACACCAGCCTTCCCTCCTTGTACGACAGCTCAGTGCTTCTGGGGTCTCAGCAACTGTCACAGAGCCGCTGGGCGAGCTCACCTGGGCCAGACCCCACCTCAGACCCAGGCATCTGGCCAAGGCCGTAGCTGTGCGCTCTGTGAGACCTGTCCTGACTCCCTGCAGGTCCTTCCCCATGAGCCAGAAAGGACAGAGGGGGTTTTGAGTGCCTCCTCGTCACAGCCCGTCCCAGGAGGCACCAGGGTCCCATCCATGTGAGGTCAGAGGGCAGCAGGAGGTTGTGAACTAGGAAAGCCCAAGCCACATATGTTTCAGCAATTTTAATACATTCAATAATATTTAATAGAACAAAATAAAAAAGCGATCACCCGCAGAAGGCCATGGGTGAGAGAAACAGAAACGTCACTGGCCCTTTTGCAGTAAAGCTTATGCTCGAAAGGAAACAAGGCAAAATGACTTCTGGAAGCTCTGCATCAAGTGCCACTGAATCAGAGCACCTCAGAGTATCACTTCAGGTGTGCGCGACAATCCAGAATCATCCCACGAAGCCAAGTGTTACAAGGATCCTATTAGAAAAAGCAAAAAGTCACGCTTCTGGAATCTTCTCACCTGTGGACCCACATGCAAATGTGGGCAGCCTGGCCAGGTACCCCCACACGTTCTGTTGTCAGGGAGACAGGTGGGTCCCCAGACTGTGCCTGGGACCAATCCCTCCCCTTGGCCACCCTCTGCCCTGTCACCAGCCCCAGGGCACAATCTGGGCAATGCCAGCCATGAGGGCAAAGCCCGTCGGCAGTGGCTATTCTCCTCCAAGACACTGCAGGCCCTAGACAGCACTACCTGCCAGGGGTGGCACATGTGGCTAGGGAGGGGCAAAGGTGTGAACTGCAGACCCAAGAAAGTCTTTTTCATAGGACAAGACAGCCCCCCTGACAAATAAATAAACACAAACCATGGCTGCACATCAGAGACACCAGGTCCAGACAGGTGCCTCTGGGAGGGCGAATGGGAGCAAAAGGGAGGCTCAAAGAACCAAGTGAGGGGAGACGCCAGGACGGTCATTCTCACTGGAACTGCCCCTCAGCGGACAGCACCTGTCAACAGAGCAACCAACAACAGAACCTGGGCCAGCAGGACAGGGATCGGTAGGTGTCGACCAAAGTCTGCCCGTGTGCTTGGGGGCTGGGGCTCTGCTCACCATCTTCTCTTTTCTTAGCCAGAAGTGGGCATTTCACAAAAAGCCTCCCATTGAGGCAGCAGCCAGAGCAGCCAAGTTGGGAGGTCTGGACAGGGTGGAAGGGCATTCACCAGCCACCTGGTGACCACAGCCAGCAGGCTGCACACATACACACACAGCCTGTTTCATAATAACCATTGTTTTCTAGGCTACAGACATGTCAAACTCCTAGTCTAGAACATCATGCTTGAATGCAGAACCCTTGGCCCACACTGGCTGGCGGCCTTCTGTGAGTCCCCTCCTTGCATCTGTGGCTGAGGCAGCGGTCCTGCTTCCACTGGTGGCAGCTCCTCCTCATGCTCCTTTCCAGGTGCTAAACACAGCTGTATTCAAGCCAACAGCTCTGCGTCATGGTCACATGAGATCGGGCTCCCTATACCCAAGAAGGGCCGAGTCCCAGTCTGAGAGTCACGTCAACAGAACACCTTGTAGAGTAAGGCTTTGGTTCAAACTGTGCAGAAGGGGTTGTGGCGGGCTGCCTGTTGCCTGGGACATGGAGAGGGCTACACAGCAGGGGACCAACTGCACCACTGGGCTGAGCTGGCCTCCCAGACCCTCTGTGTTGTGGCCACCTTTGCAAGGAGAGTTAAGGCACTTCCTTAAATTCCCATCCAGGAGGATTACATGTAGGCAACTCAGAGTGGTTTTAAATTATACTGTCTGGGCTCCCTCAAGTTGTTTATTTTTTTTCTCTTGCTACTTCCAAGTCATTCCGGCTGTCACCATATTAATGTCCAGATTTTGTGTTGTATCTCTATGCTTACTAAAACAATTTAACTTTGATGCTACTACAACGGGAGCTACTTTCCCTCAATATTGCTCATGAGAAAAAAAATGTTTTTAAATTAGAGAATTCCTTATGATCAATTCTCTTGTCCAGAAACCTAAGTCAGAATGGGTTTCCAAGCCCCTTCTAGGCTGGAGGACAGGCCGGCGGAGCAGCGCAGGGTCCTTCCCATCAATAGAGGCCCAGCCGCAGGAACTGCTCGGTGGCAGCAGACAGGGAACGTGAGTCTTCATCCTGTTAGCTCAGTCTGAAAACACGTGTATCGTGTTGGCTGGGACAGCCCTGCTGTGCACTGCTGGGGTGACACACGCTTTGAAACCAAGCCCACGTAAAAGGTGGAGGTCCACCAGCCTGATGCTGGGACGCAGGAACCTGTTGGGCACTGATCAGTTCTCACGGTGACAGGACCCGCGTGGCAAGCTGGCAGGAGTGCTGTGGCTGAAGCTGTCACTCACCCGTCAGCTGCCCACACAATTTAATCCCCTTTCCCAAGTTTAGCTGTTCATAAACCTTATTTTAAATACCCCGCAGCACTAACATAGTTCAATATTCTCTTCAGAAGGAAAACTCCAGCAGCAATCAGTGTGCGTGATGTGTGCTGAGCCCACACTGACCTCGGACTAGACAGGTCATGTGGGAGGAGCCTGGTCGGAGCCTGCTGGAACACAGAGGCTGAGTTCTCCCAAGTCGGAGGCCCTGGGCTGAAGGCTCACACGCTTCGGAGCAGCCTAGAGAGTTACTGAAAGCTTTACGGGGCGCAGAGCAAATGGTGTCGGTGTCACTTGGTAACGGGGGAGGGTCCTTCAGGTACGCTCAGGTTTCGAAGTACTTGTAGATTGCCGTCACATACAGCATCACGTTTTGCCAATCAGGCCGTTCAGTTCGCACCATTTCATTAATGTCCTGGCAGAAAAGGAAGAGGCCTGGTTAGAATTCCTGTCACCTCCTGGCCCGTCTCAACAGCCTCCTGCCACAGCAAAACGGGCTCTCGCAGCTGAGCAGTGAGCGAAGGACTTTTGGTCTAGGCCCGATCACACATGTCAAAGGCCTGGCCAAGACGCCTGCTCCATTTCTACCAAGTGCCCCAAAAAGGACCTACTCCCTGGGCATCAGAGTTGTCCCCAAGCTGCCCACCCCTGCCCAAAGCTCCCCAAAGCTAGAGGATTTCATCTTCCCCTGGGACCTCCTTCCCCGCCTGCTCTCTACTTAAATCCTAAACCCTCCCTGCAATCACTTCTGAGAGCCTGTCTCACGCCAGTCAGTCCTGGGAGGGCTCCGGAACCTAACATGCTAACGCCCTTCAGATGGTAATCCCCGCCAGTCATCGAAGGCACTGTTCTCTGAGGGCATTCTGCAGAGCCCAGTAATCTGCAAGGTGCTAACTGCAGGAGGAGGAGCGTGGGAAACCCTGGTGTTATGCCCCAGGCCGAGAGCTTGCTGCCGCCTCACCTCCCGTGCCTGCTCTGAGCGGCTCCCTGGGTGAGGGCGGACAGACCGCCAACTGGTCACGTGGCACAGAAAGAAGATAACATGTTTGTTCAATATAAGAATCTTGCCAACAATTTTTAGGGTAGGGAACCACCCACTTTTTTTTTTTATCCTCACTCGAGGACATTTTTCCATTTTTTGTTCAGATAGGGTGGGAGGGAGGGAGAGAGAGGAAGAGACAGAGAGAAACATCGACGTGAAAGGGACACATCGAGTGGTTGCCACCCACACGACCAACCAGGGCCGGGCAAAAACTGCAACCGAGGTACATGCCCTTAGCAGGAACTGGACCCGGGTCTCTCTGGACCACAGGTCGACGCTCTAACCGCTGAGCCAAACCAGCCAAGGCCCGCCCACTTTCTGTATATTAGAACTTTACATGCGGTGTAAAATGCCCAGATAATGAAAAATATTCAATAACAAACACTTTTCTTTTTCTCTATACAAATGAATAGAAGCTACCCTAAAGCAAGTGTCTCTATGAATCCAGAAGGTATCTTTATGGAAATGTATATGAGCACTTGCAGTGTGACTACTAATTCAAAGCTATTCTGTTTTTACAAGTCAGGGTGATGGGTACCCTTGGGGTAGGGAGGTAGTACCCAAGGGAGAGTTTGAGATCCCTGACCTGGCCCCGTGGGTTCTTCCCTCTGTGGAAATCCCCAAGCTGTGCACAGCGGACCCTATAAACACCTCCGTACACAGTTTATTGAATGACAGTGTGCCAGGTGTGGAAGGACTGGCTTTGCATGTGGATGCAGTCTTTACTCCCAGTGAGTCAGAACTGGTGATGAGGCAAAAATCTGGCAGAAGTACATTCGTCTTGAGCGGCTACAGGTGCTGGGCAGAGGCCTAAGCATGGCTCTGAAACGCACAGATTTTCTCTAACTCATTCCTCGCACTGTGAGGGGTAGTCCCATGACCCTCATGAAGTGCGGGATCCACTATCCAGCCCCGAACGCCACTTCCAAGACTTAGCAGCACCTGCCCTCCTCCTCTAGTTTGGCAAGTTCACCAGACTGTAGAACACGCCTTTGACAGCAACACTTAGAAATTTGCCAGCATTTTTCTTCTGACCCCGAGCATTCAGTTAAGGAAGACAGCAACTCTAAGGGAGAATCTGGCTCAATGTGGCTGGGACTGCAATCAAGACCACCCCTCCATCCCCACCCAACTCGGGGCACCTCCTTGGGACACTTCCTGTGAGGCATAAAGTGTCCAAGGGGCAGGGGTGAAATCCTGTCTGCATCCTCACCCAACAGGACACTGACTCGGCAGGCACAGGGCCTGCGCTGCCCTCGTTATAAAGCTGCCACACCACTAGGGCATCTACCTCAATACGAAGCGAACGCTTCCTAACAGAAAGGAGGGCCCGGCAGGGCTTCTGCAGGGCAGACGAGGGCTTACCAGTGTGGATTTAATGCCGACACTCTCAGCTGCCTGGAAGGCCAGGGTGAAGTTCCTTCGCTGTAAAAGAAACTGTGTGACTGGAGCAGACAAGCAAGGCCAGGAGAAAGGCGACCTGGACTATACATGATGCTGGGGAAAGACGGAGGCACATCTGCACTTGGTACCAAAGCAAACTACAGGAGAGTCCTCAGAACTCCCGACGGACACCGAGGGTCTAGCAGTGCTCCTGCTGCCCCTTCACAGGGCCCCGCCCGATACACTTATAGCCACTGTGGAATGATCCCCAAACACTTGTTCCTTCTTCACTACAGAAAAGGGCCATTTCCAACACATTAGCCCTCAGCCATCTGAACCCCAAAAGCTAATAAAAATAAAAAATGCCTGTCAAGAGAGCTTCGTCTCAGTGGAAACCTTCAAGAATTATCTAAAGGGCACAAGGGGGCTGATGTTGGGGTGCGCAGGGGCCCAGAGGAGAGCTTGAGCCTGGGTCCTCTCCCAGTGCCCATCTGGGCAGGAGCTGTCCCCCTAACTGTCCCAAAGCAGCTTCCTGAATGGAACACCTCAAACCACAGCCTGGTCTGCATGGAACTGTGCTTTTAGCCAGTCCTGGGCCTGGAGGTGGCAGGAGCCTGGCCTGGAATGGTTGGTGTTGCCATGCCGCCCATGCCTTGAGCAGCTCTCCCTGGTGAAGCTCTTGATCTTAAATGTTGTCACCAGGAAGGACTGACACTCCCACTGGGAATGTCAATACCTGAGGAATTCAGGACTGGGCGAACCTCCCACACAAGGTGGGGCAGGGACTAGCTGGCTCAGCATATACTCTAGGCCCTGAATAAGATCAAGCCGAACAGAGCCATCATGAGACAGCATGCAGAATGCTAACTGCATGGTCCACATCGACGGAAGGCTCTGCCTCTATTTTTCACCCCTGCCTCCCCTGTGATGAGGCTGCCAGAGGCTGGCTGTTTTGTAGCCTGCCTTACCTTATCTTGGCTGTTCAGTTCCTGATACGGGATATGGGCTGGAAGGTACGTATGCAGGAGAGCACAGAAGGCCAGCCCGTCATTCCAGCTGCTGCTGAAGTTAGTAATGTCAATATTCTGAAGGAAAAGAAGAAAAACACATAAGCAACACACACTGTGATCTTCTCAGGGAAACGCTGAGGAGGGTGCAGGAGGTCTGAGATGCCACATGGCCTTCAACCTGGGCAGGGCGAGCCTCTGGAGCAAGCACAGTGGGCTGGAGGCCATGTCCGAAGACCTGGCCCTTTCACCTACTCCCCCACACCTTCCCATTCACCATGTGCAGATTGCTGCCACCACAGTGACAAAAATTTGAGCCACCCTACCCTCACCTGGAGGAACCTGGGGCACATGTCCCACAGCTCTGCAGCATTGCAGGACACTAGGAAATAAAGGTCTAACCAAGTTAAGTTTCGATTCAGCCTGACTTCCCCTATTAGGGACTCTAGGCAAATGTTTACAAAGATTAGGGACTCTATTCTAAAGACTACAGCAGCCATCTTGCATTAGAAGACACTAGAAGCCAATTAATACTGCGTGCGCTTCTCCAAGAACCACCTCGACTTTTAAGAAGCACCTTACTCCATATTCAAATTAAATTATTTGCAACTAAAAGAGTAACATACCTTCAGAACATTTGATTATATGATAATAAAATTCGGCTAGTAGACAGCCTTTATCCTTCATCCTTATTTGTAAGAATCCTTTTGAAGATAAAACTCCACAATTAAATTTTGGAAATTCACACACTTTATATAAATACCACAAAATAAAAGAGCGCACTTCCCAAACATTTCTTGTTTATATCTCACTGTTGATTTCATGCCACTTTCAACTGCATCAAGAGTTGGCTTCCTAGGTGACTGAGAAAACCCACATTTTATTACTGAAGGTAAACCTCCAGTTCCTGGGTGCTGGTTCTTGCTCCTCCCAGGAACAAGTGATCACAGAACAATACTAATAATGCTATTCATATCTGTATAGATTTTTACCAAGTTTGCGACCCTGGGCCCCATTTTTACAGACTGTTAGGTCCTGACACCAAGCAGGGCACCTTGTGGTTCATGGACAAAGGGCAGGTGGAGAGGATGGGAACCAGGCCAGGTGACTGGCCCTTTGGTGGAGACTTTTAATAAGTTATGTCTCTCCCCTGATCACAGGTGCCCAAAATAGTGCCCTCTGGGGACACTCAAATACAAGCCTTCTGAAGGGCAACAGCTCTATGGACAATCATCCCAGAAGTCCCTTCCCCCCAGTAATCTGATTTTCTGCTGCCACCAGCTCACAGATATGCTGGGAGGCACTGTTCATAAACTGCCATGAGGAAAGTTACCAGGTTCCAGCACGGAGGATGCAAACCTGCCCAGAGCCACAGGGAAAGGTCGCAATGAGCTTGCAGTAAATGTGCCGCCTAAGAGCACACCTGCCAGCTGTCCAGTGACCCAGGTGATGGGGCCCAGGAAGGTCGCCCACCTCGGTGCTGCAGTGCTCATGCTCCTGGTCTTGAAGACAGCCCTGCTACACTCCCAACGGCCCCAGGCCACCCTCCAAGAGGCCTCTGCTCTGAGGACAAGAACATTAACTGCCTCCTATGAAGGTGCAACAGCCAGTGCTTGACAGCTACTGCTGATAAATGCCGCAGCAAGCTGGCCTCTTTCATCCCAGCTGTATCTCAGGAAGCAGCCAGCCAGGGACATCAGCTCCACCTGGGAGACTAGGACCAGGGAAGGGAAGTGACCTGTCCAAGGTGCTGGGCTGGCAGCAGGGAGGACAGGGATGGGAACCCTTGTCCCAAGCATCCTACCAGGCAGTATGTCATTTAATTCTTGAAGGAGGCCGATGCTCAGAGGGGCCCAGGTCACGTAGCTGATCTGGGTGATTATTCAAATTCAGGTCTAAGTCCCAAGCCCGGCTATGCTTTCCTAATCCCCATGACCAAGGCCCCTAATAAAAGAGCCAAGGATATTGGGCATCATCACGTGAACTGCAGGGCAAGAAGCTCCTAATGATGTGTCCCAGCTCTGTGCAAGGCCAGTGGCAGTATATGTGGCTGAGGACTCCCAGCCCTTGCCCCCAGAGGTCACATTCACTTCTGGAGGAAAACAAATCTCCACTTCCTGCCCCTGCGGCCCCTTCTCCAGCTCCCTGAAAGGCAGGCGTCTCTGGCAGAGTCGCCTACGTGCCTGGCCTCACCCTGCCTCACGGCAAAGCTCCTGCACGAGAGGAAACCGCTGTGCGCCAGCTCTCCAGCTGTGGAAACCCCGGCCTTCCCCAGCTTCCTCAAGACAAACCCAACCCCAAACCTGGAATCTTCAGTCAGAGCAGCAATTTCATTTACAAAACGTGCCTAAGCGACTTAAGAAAGAGGAAACAATAGCTCCTGAGTTCCAGGGTAGGGGGCGTTCACTTTTAAGAGCCTGACAACCAGACTTCCAAAGCAAAACAACTCAAGCCCAAACCCAGGCAGGCTGGCCAGGGTGACCACCTGCCTTACCTCAGGGAGGCTGGAGAGAAGCCAGACCAGGAATCCTACCCAGCAGACAACGAGGTCAACAAGCACCAAGCCCAAGTGAGACCTCTGAGCAGTCCCTCACCCGGTCCAGAGAGACCCTGGGGGAATCACCCAGGCTGTGAAATTGAGGTACTTCAAAGGAAGTGGGGAAAAGCCTCGGTCTAAGGAGCAGGCCTGCACCCTCTGCTCCTCATCCCACTATTTGTTTTTAATGTTTAAGGCTGAAAAATCAAACTACTATACAATTACGTAGACAGGATATAGAGGTGTACAAACAACAAAGCTGGCTCTATGAGACTGAAAAGCACAGTGAAGACAGAAAAGTCCCCCTGGCTCTCTCTGGAGCTCTTAATTTCATAGCTATCACAGCCCATTAATACGATGGGATTAACAGAAATAAATGTATGTACAAAAAATACAAAATTGTATTAAATAGCCAGAGAAATGGCTGTTACAACAGGAGCCAGCTCCCTTCCCGCTCAGTGAAGACCACTCATCCCAAAGCTGTGCCCAGTGCCCAGTGCCCAGTCAGGCCCCTGCCTGCACATCTGTCCTCCAGGCACTGCCATGCACCTGTGGAGCTGCAGCCCAAGACCATAAGCGGGCTTCAGGGCAGAGCAGGGATCCTGGGGCCCTTACTGGGTTTCCTTAGTGATGGAGATCAGAGAGGGGCAGACATAGTGATGGAGATCAGAGGGGGGCAGACATATTCACAGAATGCCACCAGAACCAGCTTCTCGCCATCTCCCCTCTTCACTCCTCTGCTCCACACCTGGACCCCACAGAAGGTCTGGGACTACACTTTTCCTTTGCTGCTTTCTGTGCAAGGTGGCAACAGGTACAGGTAGTTCAATCTGCCAGTCGCTTCATGGTCCCTGTAAATCATGACTGCTTTACCTGCCCTCGAGGGCCAAGTCAGCAGTGCTGACCCTGAACTTTGCTGGCGCTCACTCCGCAGGGAGAAGCTTCTCACCCATAAAGTGGACATACAAACCCAGCCCATATAAGATGACAAGTTGCTAACACTATGAAACTGTAAGGTTGTCTAAACTTGAGGGATTTTTATGGTTTTGTTCACTTGTAGAGAAAGAACGACACTTTGTAACGGATAGCACCAATCCCATCTGGGACACCAAGAGGCAAAAGAATCACTGAGAATGTCCCCGGCTGCTCTTTCCTCACTGATGGCCCTGCTCTTGGCTGCATGGCTACAATTCTCCTGGCCCTTGCTGTGCTTAGGTGACTGGTGAACCTCCACCACTCACTGGGGCTTTCACATAAAAACACGGAGCACCCACATGATGTTTGGGGTATGGTATGTATCCTTCTTTCTCTCTGAGTAAGGTTTGAATGAGGAACTCAGATAACAAGCTACCTCAAAAATCCCAACTGCTAAGTATTCATTCAAAACACACAGGTAGGAAACTTGCTCTATAATCAGTCACTTGTTTCAAAGTGACTCAAATGTCACGAGGCAGAGTGTGCCTTTCTGGCAGGAGAGGTGGGGCCCTCCCAGTGTGGCTCCATCTTCCATAGGCCTACAAAAAAACAGAGTAATGTGCCTACAGCTCTTCTACTGGTGGTAAAGGAGACCTTCTCCTGGAGAGAAGGAGCAGAGATTGGGGGTGGAGGAACTGGGGATGGACTAATCATTGGAGGGTTCATTCGCCTGTTCAATGAGTCCTCACCTGGTACCAGCTCTGGATCAGGCCTCAGCTTTCCTAAAGGGGCAGTCTTATAGGACAGTCTGACAGGTGTACCCAAAATGGACCTGGACTCAGAGTAGGCTTCAAGGGAGAGTGTGGTTGAACTGAAGGCAGGAGGTCTTAGGAGCTGCTGGGGAAGGTCTCAGGCGATGGTGGGGAAATAAAGTGAAGGCTACAGAGATACTTCAGAGCTAAAGCAGATTTGACTTGGTGACAGATTGGATATGAGGACAAGCCTTCAACGGGACACAGTGGGTGGCCAGACAGGCAGGAGAAAAGCCAGAAGCCAAAGGTAGACACAATTAAAATGGTCAATAGCATTAGCGTCTCTGAGAGGACAAGACGACTTAAAAAATGTCCTAAATTTAGTTAACATTTGGGTTGCCATTAATCATGGTGAGCGATGGCAAATTATTATAGGAAGAGCACTCACAAATTTTTTTAAAAGCCACCATATCATGAAGTTAAATGATCTGTAATAGTTTTACAACTTTCATAGACAGACTCTTTTTTCACAGTATGTTTATTACTCAAAGTTAATTTCACCCTGGCTGGTGTGGTTCAGTGGTCAGAGTATCAGCCCACAGACCAAAGGGTCTCAGGTTCAATCCCTGGCCCCAGTAGGGGTCATGTGGGAGGCAACCAATCAATGTGTCTCTTTCACATTGAAGTTTCTCTCTCCCTCCCTCCCCCCTTCCCTTCCACTCTATCTAAAAATCAAGAGAAATATCCTCAGGTGAGGATTAACAATAACAAATAAGGTTGGAATTTCAATTTTCAAAAATGGCATTTTCAAGGCATGAGGAAAAGCACTGAGTGTAAAACATCTTCCAATACATCTCTCTTCTGGCAGAAGGGCC